CAACCATAAGTTTCTCAGTCTTCCCCTTCTGGAACCACTCACTCATCCTTCATATATTTGCTGAGCAACTGTTTCTTTTTTATTGTCTCTTTTGAATAGTGTGTAGATGTTGTTTATCTCTATGTGCCTGTTGATGGCTACCTTGTCTGGATACCAAGCTTCCAGGAATTCCCTCGCATTTTTGGATTTAGGTTGGTCTAAGATGCTGACAGTTTCCCAGTTGAAACTATGGTTATATCTGTCCTTTTGCAAAAAAACCCTGCAAGACCACTGAGAGGCAGAGCAGAGAGATGGAGGAGGAAAAGAGCCCCACCAGAGTCTGCAAATCCAAGCAAGTCTGCAAACCAAACGAAACCCACTGCATGCAGCAGCCCAGGTGCAGAGCTCTACAAACCAGCTTCAGAAACAGAGGCCTTTGAGTGCTGGGACAGGGTGGGGGTGGGGGAGCAGGGAGAAAAGTCCATTCGTAAGTTTATAAAGGAGTGAAAAAGGTTTTCACATGCAAATGGCCTGAAGATTGGCTACAAGAGCTGAAGACCTGGGGAAAAAGGAAAGATTTAAAGAAGAAATAGTTAAGATAAGAAAACATAGTACTAACATAGGAATAGGAACCTAAAAATAGAACATAGAGGTAGAAATGTATAAATAAAAATAGAAATAGAATTGTAGTAAACGTACAATAATAAGATAGTAGAATAAAATAGGAGTTTAATTTTGTTCAATAAAACAGTTTTGTATGGGAAAAACAAATACGTTCTTTGTGTCTGTGTTCTGTACCATATTAAGAAAAACCCTCTTTTTCCGAAGAGTCACTCTTGATAGAACCAAATAATGGTCTATCTTACATTCAGAACCTCTCATCTCTCTTGAATCCTTCACTATTTCTCCCAGATTTTTATTGTAAATTAATCAGTCAAACTTTTCAATTACTTCTTTTTTTAGGTATACAAATTAATAGACTTTGCTTAAACCATTTATCTGAAATAAGCAGATTTTTTTCTAAGCAGATATTCACCAGTCACCATGCTCATTCATTTTTAGTTATCTAACATTCTCACCAGTCATCTAACATTCAGGTCATCTAACAGAAGAGATTTTCCCTTGCATCAAATTCATCTAGAATGTGATGATAACTGCTGTACAGTTTTCTCCAAAACTCACCCTTTTTCCCTTATCACTATTCATTGGAGCCTAACATGCAATTGTCACTAATTTATGGACTCCTTCTTTTATAGGTGCTCACAACAATCTAGATTACGTCAATCCATGCTTTATGACATAAATTTTAGACCTTTCATTCTGATTAAACCTCACATTAAACCATCCTCATTTAGATCTCTTACATCCTTTGGCTTTCTCTTGGTTTTACAAGCACCATCTTGCTTGTTTGCTTTTTTGTCTTCCTACTTTCCTTTTGATGTGTTCATACTTTTCGCATCATGATTGTCACCTAGTATGCCTTTGGATGTTGACCTCTGTTGCCCATTATGGCTTTGGTCAATCAAAGCTTTCACTTAACACTTTTTAGTAATACAAATGAGGCATAGACTAGGTCACCGGCCATTGTTGCACCCATACTACAGGCAGCATTCCTGGCTAACATTAAGGGCAGTACTGGCCAGTTCTGACACATTTTGGCGAGTGTGTCACATATGCAACTACAGCAAGGTTTTCCCTCATGTATATTCATGCTATTCAATGCAAGTTGGACCGCTAATCTTAAGACTACCTTGCAAGCCAACTTACTGTTGCCAGCTTCCCACAAACTAATGGCATACTTAGAATGCTACATGTGATGTGCATATTCTTTTTCAGAAATCTATAGATTGATAATTGGTAGGTTTGTTACAATAGGCCTACAATATATTTAATTTGAAAATTCATGAAACCCATGAACGTAATTTCTGGATGGCTCATAAAGAACAATAAAAAGTTTCATAAAAACAACAGTAGAAGATAGCTGTCATAATGCACAAAAGCCAAATATAGCAGCGATAGAAGGCCAGAGAGAACAAATATGTTTTGAGAGCTCTCCCAATCTGCAGTAAGGAGTAGACTTGGTTTAGTTCCAGTGACATATTCCATAAAATAAGTCCTGCCACCAAGAATGACAGATTAGTTGTTGATGCCAAATGTATCCATGGTGAGATCCATAAAAATTGTCCCAGTTTTAAGTTTTAGTTATTGACCAAAATCTTGGGAGTTGGAAGATATGAGAAGGGGGAAAAAAAGGATGATTTGTTGACAAGTGAGGCTGCAAGGAATTGAAAAAGGAGGAGATACTGAATTATTGTGGGACAGGGTATGACATTGGCTGAAAGGAGGAATGGAGGGTTGAAGGGAGCAGCCAAGAAAACTAAAAACCACAAATCAGACCCAGACCAAAACAGAGCCCAGTCCACACAAAAACTGTGATATACTGACCGGGAAGGCAATGGCCATGTAATTTAGCTTTGGAGCTCTACTGTGCCTGTAAGGGAAAATTTCCTACAGAATTTCCTAATAAGGTGAAATTCTGGTACCAGAATCAGGTGATTCCTCCCTCCCTCCATCTTTTATTTCCTTGAGTCAGAACTCTCAGCTCAGCACTAACTGAAACTAATGAGTCAGATATGTCACATAGTCAAAGTAGAATGGTTGCTTTTGGCCAGCTGCCATGGAGTTCGTCAGGAGACTATCAACCTTTTTGCCTGTGATGGCAGCTCAGTTTTTCTACAATGCATAACCATTGCAAATGATAAGAGACAAAGAAGAAGCTGCCGGGTTCTGTTTAACTCTGCTTTCCTTAATGCTCGTGAGAGTACAATAACAGATTTATATCTTTCTCCCTCTAAATACTGAAAGTTGGAATCCTTCCATTCTGCCTAAAGACCTTGTGAGCCAAGCATGGGTGTAGCAGTAGCTGCAAGTCACTTATTCCTAGATTACCTGAATGCTAGCTAGTGCCTTGTACCATTTTCTTCTCAATTTTCTGAATGAGTTCCAGAATGACATTTTATATCAAAAACTAGTTTGCTCTAACTGTGATTTTCAAGGCTAGATGGAATCAACATGGTATTATTAAGCCAGAAGTGTTTGGAGATCTACCTAAAAATGTGCAAAATGATTCATTATCTCTGTCTCTCTTTCCCACTACACCTAGGCATTTAATGTGGTCTTCCAGAAAGCTGTGTCAAGAGCTCCACCAGATGAAATCCTGAAAGAGCGAGTAAGCAAGCTGATTGATGGTATCACATCCTCAGTATTCCAATATACAACTCGTGGACTCTTTGAATGTGACAAACTGACTTACACTGCCCAAGTCACTTTCCAGGTAATTTGTGGTTTTGTTAACTCTCACACCAGTTAGTTTCTAAGTGATATGCATTGGTGGATAATGTTGTCTATATTGCAACATTTTGTTTATGAATTACCAGGTAAGAAATTCTGCAACTCTTTCAGTGGTAGATTATCATCTTTGTGTCTCTGTAAGATGGTTACATTGGTGTTTTAGACCCTTCATTGTATGGTGGTTCAGTACATTTGAACAAAAACAGTTCAGTCCAAGATGTCTGCAATTCCCAACACCTCTGTTCCACCTCCTTACTAGCATTTTGATATCTCTTAACTTCTAGAGTCTTGCTAGATGCATTGTCTGCCTTCTGCCCTTGTAGCCTTCAAGAAATGTTGGCAAGTTTCTGAAGTATAATCTGGGTTTGTTGTTGCAGATACTTCTGAAAAATAAAGAAATCAATGCAACAGAACTTAACTTCCTGCTGCGATATCCTGCCCAAACAGGAGTCACCAGTCCAGTAGATTTTTTGACAAATCAATCATGGGGTGGCATCAAGGTAACTTTTTAAACCCCAGATGAGTCTTTACTACTAATTATTGTATTGAATATATATATTCACTTTTCATGTCAGACCATTTCTGCTATTGAGCTGTTTTTAGACCCTAGTTGCTGGGGCTGATGTTTTCCAGCTTGAGGTCAAATTTCTAAAGCAAAATATGACCATGATGTTATTGAGCATAGGCTTTTTACTGCCATCAACATTTTCCATCCATAGTGGGAGGAAAAGCGTGATCTGTAAGGGCATCTAATCACAGGAGCTCAAGCAGTCCTTCAGCAATAAACAAAGAGCTGATTAAGTGAAGGAAGAATGAAGTAAAGAAAGCTTAGAGCATAAATTGATAGCTAGGAGGATGATCTGTAGTCTTGACCTGTAGTACATTTGCTTTCTTGAATTAAAACTTCATAGACTATATGACTATGAAGATTGGTCTTACATTTTTTGGAACTGTTTAAGTAATAGTGTCAGGAAATCAACTAATGGCCAGTGTAATTTTTTTAACAAAGAAGTCACATGCTTCTTATAACCAACCTTGGATTGTCTGGCAGCATTACCTTATAAATGAATTTTCTAAACATTTTTCAGGACCAGCCCATGAAAAATGCCTTGCAGTTGTCCAAATGATATATTAAGATGTGTTGCCATAACATGGCTGGAAATTATTGAATAATGTGGGAATCTAGGAGATTTAAAAAAACAACCCAGAATTGTCACTATTTCTTCTCCTGGACATGATGAAATACCTTGAAGAGACCTCTGTTTGCCATGGAGGCCTTGAAGTCTTGTTCCGTTCATTGCAGGGTGACCTCTTAAATAATGAAGTCCTTGAGAACAACTAGGTAGCTTTGAAAGTGAGGTTGTTAGGCAGTTCCCCAATATGATGTGGCCAAACACATCTTCAGATGCACATATACACTTGAAAATGCCATCTGACAGGACCTAAGCAGCATGCCTACTCTGTGGTGGCACCTGCTCTCTAGAATAGGATACCCCCTGAGATTCATATGGTCCTGACCCTGTTGGCTTTTTGTAAAGTGTTAAAGACCTGGACATTCCTCCAGTCATGGGGTTAAGATATCAGACGAGTATGTTTTATGTGTTTTTTTGTTTGCTGGACCTGGGGTTATGGGCTTTGAGTGCAGTTCATGTTTACATTATTTTCTGCTATTCATTTTATGTTTATTGTGTGTTTTTTTTAAATCCTATGTTAGTCACTTGGAGTCACAAGTGCTGGTTTGGCAGTCATATAAATTGATATAAGAATAAAACAAACAAACAGGAAGACAAAACAGAATGAGGATGATGAGACAGATGCATTTAAGTCAATTCCAATTAGGTTTCCACAATAGAAGTCAATTTGTTGTGCTTATTAGGATCAATTCTTGAACAGCTGTTTCCCAATTCTGTGATTTAGTTATCAACTGCATAATCTTGGGACTGCCATCAAGGCAACTTGGGGGTTGTACAGGAGCAACCAACACCTTTTTAAATAATGACCAGTGACTGTACCACCTCTTCTCTTTCTCTGGCCCTACAATGTCTGCTCCCTACATTCTTCCATTTCTGTGTCACTTTATAAAACATCTCTCTCTTACTAGCAAGCAATATCCCTACCTCTTGTTATCTGATAAAGATTTATAATACAGACAAACAGTCTTTTAAAACTCTGAATAACCAGAGACCACAACTTCCTTCTTGGCTCCTCTCCCTGACCTGTATTCTGCAATAGGAATAGGGCATTTTACAGATACATGGTTAGATCAACAAACAGCCTTTCACATTCTAATAATAAAATAGAAATGGATCGGTCCCTGCCCCCATGAAGATCTGCAGCAGTATCAGCAAATTATTTTGCAGTGTCCTCCACAAAAGAATAAAGTAGAAAAATGATCCATGAAAGCTCAATTGGTCTCTTGCCACCAATCACAGTTTTACAATACAAAAATTTTCCCATGTTCTTTTAAGAAGAGAAGAGAAGGAGATGCTTTTCTGCTTCATCAACTTCAGGAAAGTGTTGGACTCTACCTAACAACTCAGGGTCGAGCCTTAAATTGTTACAGAATGGAATTGGCAAAAAAAGATGTGGTCTCATCATATCTCTTATCCAATCCATCAACTGCTGGAATGGATTGGAAACAAAGGCAATCAAAGTGTAAGAGAAGTGCAAAAGAGGGGGAGTAACTCAGATGGGTTCAGTTCAAACTATACATCAGTGTTGTTCTGACCCCTTGGAATAGTCATAAAATCCAGGGCTATCTCTGAATGACTTGCAGATTGTGTGTGTTATTTGCATATGACCTAGTCCTGCTGTTACCCAGTCAAGAAAGACTAGGAATAAGTTTGTAGTCATTGAAAACTTCTGAAATATACAGGCAAAACTGAAGTAAGATCTGTTTAACTCAAAACAATTCTAGCTAAGTATTCTGTTATGAAACAATTAAGACCAAGCAAGCGTTTAGATGAGTATATGCTGTCTCTTCAGGAAGCTTAGTAGAAATCATCAAAGGTCTGCAGGGAAACTTTCTGTAGAAGGAGCAAGTGTGTAACCTACTGCACTATCTTTGTAAAATATCAGTGGCGTAAGGATAGACTGAATGCCATTGGTCTGTTTATCAAGAGAGATTCAGAGCATCCTTTAAGTTGTAGTCTAGAAGTAGGTACATGACTTCAGAGAGAGAGAGAGAGAGATATATGATATAGACAGACAGACAGAGATTAATATAGGAAACTGCCAAATTGCAAATCAAAGCATCAGTGTCCCTCATCATTTTGAATAGGCCAGTAAAAAGCCCCCAAGAAATACATTGCTTTGATTGCACTTCTGATGAAGTGCCACTTGGATGTACTTTTGCAGAGGGAAACCGTGCCCTGCTTCTAGGTGCTTAAGTCACCATGCTAGATTGAAGTGGCAATTTTGCTGGCCTTTCCCAGGCTGCAGTGCATATTTTCCTTTGGAGGAAATAGCCAGGCAAAGAAAACCTTCACGGAACTGACTTGATGGAAGGCATCAGAGTAGAGAACCTTGCTTTTCTGTGTTAGAGTCCACTGATTTGGAGCAGCTCCAAGAAGCAAAGTTGTACCACTGGATGCAGCCTTATTATTTGTTTGGTGCCATGAAGTCCTGACCACTTGGATGGTAGGGACTGAGGAGCATACTGGGGGGGTCTAGTTGCCTCACGGTAACTTGGTGCTCTGTGACTGCCAGTGGCCACCAGGATAGCCATTTGATAAATAGGCAAATCTCCTATGTGGCACTTCTTTATGGAATGTTCCTACCACATGCTCCCCGAACTCCAGATGTCTCCTGGCCAAAAAGCTTATTGCTTTTTTGCTTATTTGCTTATTCCCATTGTAGACTATTTCTGCCTTTGGGGGAAAAAAAAAGATTTAACTTCCTAAGTCATTGCGGGAGATTCAAATAACTCTTAAGTCTTACAATGCTGCCTCTTGCTTCCCTCTTCACCAAGGAAAATGAAAAAGTAATTGGAGGCAAGCCATGGACTTCTTCAGTCCTCATGGAAAAATCTCAGCAAAGGTCTAACTAATAAGTGAGATTTTCTAATATTCTGGGTGCCCAAAATGGGAAGCTAAGATGCTCCTTCAGTCAGAAATGTACATCGTCTCAGATAATTGGGTTTCTGGTCAAAAAGTAATGGAGGAAAAAACAATTGATTTTTAGAAGGTCCAGAAATGACAGAATTGGCAAGGGACTCTGATGTTAATTGTTGGATTAAGGATAGGCAGTATGAACAAAAGGTTCAGAGTTCAGTGACAGGACCTGGATAGCATAAGAGAAGTTGTATAACTGCTTCCCACCCATTTTTAACTAATGGCTAATGGCTTTACTGTTGTAAAACCTTCTTCATAACTGCATGTACGTACTGTACTGCTGTATTCATTAATAAAGTACTTTGAGTTGAATTACAGATGAAGGAAAAAGTAGTTGAAACATACTGTATGGTGGATAATATTACTGTTCCTGCCAAGGTGTTCTGCTTTGATGAATTTGGATGTATTGTTTTTTTTCTCTCTTTCTCTGCCCTTAAAGTTGTTCAGTTTGAAGATTATTTTTAAATGCTGACATTGAAATAATGTTGCACATCCTAGCTATTGTGAAAAGCAAACAAATCTATTCCATTTAACTTTGTTTCAGCCAAAACAATTCTGAATATTTAGACAGCTCCATCTTTGTTTTTAGTCCTTATGTGGGCAGTTTAAAAACATGTACATTCAATAAATACTTTGCACTAGAGTTAAGCTCACAGCTTGAGCCCCTAAAGCTTCCCTCTCTTTTTTACACATTCACCATTGTTGTAAAAATAAATAAAATAAAACAAAAGTTGTAGCTATAAAAGTGCTGCAGAAGATGAGATCCATAATGCTGCCTAAGATTTGTTAGCAGTTGCTGATCATATTTTGTGATGAGTTTTTTTGTTCCTTGCTTTCAGACACTCTTTTCTGTAGCATATTTAAGGTCTTTTCCCCACTAGCAGCTTACAGTGTCTTCTAGAGACACTATATCTATTGTGGTGCCAAAATAACAGTAATGAGTACCGTGATGGCTGGTTGATGGTGTGAAGATGATGTAAATCATCTGCTTTGATTTTAATTAGATTTAGATTTAAAACTGCAGTTCATTCTTCTGCACTCATCACCTTCTCTTTTTGTTTTTTCCTCTGCTTGTCCTAATCTGGAGTGTGAAGGGAATTTAGAATATAGAACTGATAATGGCCACATGATCATTTGTTTTCCATATCAAAGAAGAAAAAATCTGCTTTAATCATCCATCCACAAACAAAAAAAACCAAACCAAAAACTAGTGCTTCTGGTGGGTTTTGTAACTATGGAAGTGAAAAATCAAAAAGCTAAACCACTTTATGATGAGCAGTTCTCTGCAGCTTACAACCATCAGAAGTAGAACTATTGTGGGGAAGGTGATGCACCTCCTTCAGTTTTTAATTTTGGAAAATATTATTGAGCATTTGTCTGGCTTCAAGTTGAAGTAGTAGTAGTAGTAGTAGTAGTCTGAAAGCCAGATCTGATCAGCCAGGTCCCCAAATCTTGTCCTTCTCCCAGCTCAGAACAAACAACTTTCAGGTGAATGATCATAATCTGGAAACAGTATGAAGTTGTAATGCAGAGAGATGTCAGAATTCATAGATCGTAAGTTTCATACTTGAACATCTCAACTTGGATCTAGTCTAATTAAAGTGGAGGTGGGAGGAGCTCTTCATCCTAACCAACTGAATGTAATTTAATTATTTGCTCATTTATATTTAAGGAGGCCTTATAGGACACAGCCTTAACCCTATTCTTTTTTTTCATATGCACATTTCTTCAGATAATCCCCTTATCCAGTGTCTTTCTCCACGTTTGCATTCCTTCAAGCAGAAGTCTGGCTCTCAACATCTGGCTTCTTTTCTCACATAGGCATTGCTTCATGAGGAGTTAGATCATTGGTCCATTTAGTTCAGGACTCCTGGTGATTTCGTGGGCACATCAGTGCATTTTTCTTGAAAATATTGCAGAAGTCGTTTGTCATTGCTTTCTTCAGGGATGCTTTTTGATTTCCCAGTGTATCCTAAACCCTGGCATTCTATGGTGGTCTCTTCCCCAAGTCCTAATTGTCCCTGCTTAGCTTCTAAGCCAAGCCAAGATTATTTAGAAAGCAGTTTATTAAGAATTGAGAGTATGCCTGGATATTTGGCATTATTTTCTTCTACCCTATCAGTCTAATCTTCTCTTTCATTTTGCAGATATGAAAAAGTAGCTGCAAAGGTATTGTGTAATAAATATAGGGACATAATTTTGCTTCAGTGCTTCATATATGCATGCTCAATGAATTTTGCTAATGCTTTCATAGTTTTAAAATGAAGATTATATGATAAAGCCTGCCTATAGCTTTGTTGAGTAGCTATGTTAAAAATATTAACATGCTAGAATGTCAGAGTCATCACTGAATCTTCCCATGTTGGTTCTTGATTCTTTGTAGAACTTTTCTGATATAATGCATTGATTATGGATTCCCTGACCTTTATCTGTTCTCTGCTGCCTTTTTTCCATGAGCATTATGACATCTTGGGTGGTAAGGACAATTTTGAGTGGATGACTACCAGGTAGTATCCTAGCAACATGAAATAATCATAGTATTTCATTGGAAGGGAATGCAAGATGCCATGATAGGTAAATTAATGGAACCTCCAGATACCTGCAGTGTCTTTTTTTCTCTGTACCATTTTATGGTGAAAGTAGATTGGCCACTCAGTTGCAAAACTCTTGGAATACTCTCTATGTAGTCCAGAAGTAAGGAGAATTTGGACCTTATGACTAAATAGCTGGAGGTCAGAAAAAGAAAGATTAGAATTCCTTTTGGAATCTTAAATGGAAATGCCATTGTAGCCAGTTTTTTCTTCTCTAAAGTTTTTAATTTGTTTTAATAAAAAAATAAATTTAATAAACAGGAATGGATATGGCTGAATAACCCAATTGTCCTTTTCTTCTCTTAGCCCAAGCAGAAATGGAGACAGAAGAAAAAGAAAGCATTAAGCTTTTATAACTTCTCTGAACAAGGGAACATTCAAGTAATCCCCAGACCAAAAAAAAAAAAAAAATTAAGAAAAGAAAAAAAGGAAAGAGAGGAACTGTAGCAGGGAGAAAGGAGTAATTAATATTCCTTTTTTTTCTTTAAAGATAGTTCTCTTATAGTCCAGAATCCACTGTTTTATCACGCCCACAAGGTATGTGCTGTTAAAAGCAAACTTTCATGTTGAGATACTTTACAGCATTCACATGAAAACATTTAAAATACTTTTACTGATCTGGGACTGGGTGCAGCTGCTGTATTAAAATATTTTATTTGAAAACGTCTCACACCCAGCCTTAAAAAAACTCCAAAACCTGTGGGAAATGTCAAATGGGAGCTGTTCAGAAAGAAGATATATCACCACATATTCCTTGACTTGCCTAATGATTTAATTTTACTTTAGTTTTATTTATTAGTTTTAGGTGCTGCCAGGCTCCAAAATGACTCTGGATGGCTCACAATGTGATAAAAAGAATACAACACAATACAATTCAAAAAGAGAAAGCCAACAAAAACAAATAGGATAAGGACAAGACTAGGATGGCGAATCCAGCCAAGAACACAAGAAACATATCAACAAAACTCACAAGGGACTCCAACCACCCTAACCCAGGGCCTTGGACAACAGCCAGGTTTTTAAGGCCCTCTGGAATGCTATCAGGGTGGGAGCCACCCAGATCTCAGAGTGAACTTCATTCCTGAGGGCAGGTACTACGACAGAGAAGGCTCACCTCTTGGGTTCCAAAAGGTGACACTGTTTAATTGAAGGGACCTGAAGCATGCCTACACTGTTGGCTCATGCCAGCTAGGCAGACACCACAGGAGACAGATGGTCCCTCAGGTAACCAGGCCCTATGTCATGTAGGATTTTATAATCAGCACTTTGAATAGCACCCAGAAGCAAACCAGTAGCCGATAAAGCTTGCAGAGCATGCCTTTCACTGCCGATGCCACTGCATTCTGACCAGTTGAAACTTCTAAGTGGTCCTCAAGGGCAGCCCTATGTAGAGTGCATTGCAATAGCTGAGTTGTGAGGTGACCAGGGCAAGAATGATTGAAGGGCCTCTTGATCCAGGAAAGGGCACAGCTGGCACACTAGTTAAAGCTGTGCAAAGGTCTTCTTGACCACAGCCACCACCTGCTCATCAAGCAGAAGCTATGAGTTCAAGAAGACCCCAGCTTGCACACCATTCTTGAATGGGGAAGTGGAGCCCATCCAAGGTTAAATTGGAATCTCCCTGGATCTAGGTGGCCCTAATATCCATAGCTACTCAGTCGTGGTAAGAATGAAGAAGAGATGGTTGCTTCCTGTCCAGACCTGCACAGCTTCCAAGCACTGGGATAGGACTCTGACAGCCTCACTCAGCTGGCCTGGGGTCAAAAGATATAATTGGGTATCATCAGTGTATGGATGATACTGAACCTCAAACTGGTGGATGACCTCACCCAGAGGTTTCATGTAGATGTTGAATAGGAAGGGAGAGAGCACTAACCCCTGTGGAATCCCACAAAGAACATCAATTGGAACCACCCCCAAAGGTAGGAAGAGAACAATCACAAGATGGTGCCCTCAATTCCCATTCCCCAGAGCTGGTCCACAAGAATACCATGGACAGTGGTATTGAAAGCCATTGAAAGATCAAGAAGCACGTGGATGGATGCACCTCCCCCAACCCAACTCTGCCACAGGTCATCAACAAGTGCAACTGTGTACTGAATCTGGCTTGAAACATGATTGAAACAGGTTGAGGTAATCCATTTCCTCCAGTGTTCTCAACAGCTGCAATCTGACCACCTTCTTGACAATGTTCCCTAAAAATGGAAGGTTGGAAAAGGGATGATAATTATTCAGGACTGTTGGTCCAAGGATGGCTTGAGAAGGGCGTATACCTCTGCCTCTTTCAATGTTTTGAAATGTATTCCATGTTTTCATTGTATTCGTCAGTGGATAATTTGAAGGGTATATTCCTAATGGAAATATTTAAAAGACTTGTTGGTATTCTGAGAGGTTTGCATGGAGGTCCCCAGAATCTGGATGATTAAAACCAAAAAGTTCTGAAACCTGCAATTCCCAACTCTGGGGGAAAAAAAAAACGTTACAAAACACTTTTAAGTATCTGGTGTACAAGTTCTATATGTGAAATTCAGCAGTCTTGATTCTTGAATTTCTGGCAGCTGTTTCCTTTTATTGGTTTCCAAAACCATTGGGCAAGGCCACACCATTTTTCAGTCATGACCACTTTTCTTTTTCCAGGCCCTGTCATCTATGGAACAATTTCGGAATTTGGATCGTGACATTGAAGGTTCTGCCAAGCGCTGGAAGAAGTTTGTGGAGTCTGAATGCCCTGAAAAGGAGAAGTTCCCTCAGGAGTGGAAGAATAAGTCAGCTTTGCAGCAGCTGTGTATGATGAGAGCCCTACGACCTGACCGTATGACTTACGCTGTCCGGTAAGTCTATAAAGTACTGAGCTGTGCCTAAGTCAATAGAGGGAAACTCTAAGCTTCTGATGCTAAGTGTCCAAGAAATGCTAGATGAGTCATCTCTTGTTCTTATAGAGTCCCATTTCTGGTTTACAGTGAATCATTTTTAATTCTGCATTGTGATTTCCTTGTCACTTTCCACTTAATCAGAATAGACTTAGTAATGTCCATTTACTCATTACCACATTCAGCTTTAATTGTCTTCTGTAGGGTGCGAATAATACACAATTTATTGTCACAGTCTAGTCTGTTTCCTTTCTTCCACCACAAATAAATTAACACTGGGTGGTTTCTTTAATTGATAAACAAAATCTCCAAAATTCCCAGAACTCCAAATTAAATAATTAATTTTTGAAAGCCAGTCAAAGGGATATTATATGGAAATATTAAACATGAAAGATTTCAAACCGCTTTTGAATGTCAGGTAAAACAATGTTTATTTTCAAACTTAAAACAAGACATATTTCTATATAATGGGCGGGGAGGGGATCTCTTCAATTCTATTCATTGCGAATAACTGTTTTATATAAAAAAATAATGTCTGTGTTTCCAGGTGCTAAAATTATCTTCAGACCATGAGAGTTTGCTCAAAGTTTGTGTGCCAAATGTTATTAGCTAGCCTAAGGTCTTGACCAGTGCAAGGCACATTGAAGTTCTGATTTATTCTAGTAAGGATATTTTCTATTTGCATTAGTTTTGTCTTGCTGATACTTGATAGTAATAATTGCATTACCTTTGTCTTAACTCTCTTTGAAAGTATCTTGTACTGCTGGAAAAGCATGCTATGTTTTCCTAATGCCCAGTTTCTATTTGATATTTTAAATACATACAAAGTAACTTTTCCATGCATAATAAAAATTTGAGTAATTTTATACAGCAGCAGCCCAACTTGGTGCTCTCTAGATGAGTTGGGTCTACAATTTTAGGGTTTGAATACTTTATTGAGAATTCTTGGAGTTATAGTCATAATATCTCTGGAGAACCCAAAAGAGAAAAGAAGAAACGTGTGCCTTTGAGTCACCTTTGGTTCCTGGCAACTGCCTGGTAAAGTCCCTGCAGTTTTCTTGGCAACATTTTTGGAAGTGGCTTGCCAGTTCATTCTTCCTAGGGCTGAATGTGACTGACCCAAAGTCATCCTGCCTTGAGTCTAAGGTAACACTAGAACCCATAGTCTCCTGGTTTCCAGCCTGATGTATTAACCACTACGCCAAGCAGAAAACAACCTTCCGTGTACAACAGAAACATGTGAGCAGATATTTCTTCAACTACTTTGAGCATAAAGGAACCCATCAATATAATTTATTCTTAAAAATCTTTCAATCAGGAAAGACCCCAGGGTGGTGTACATAATAGAAAATTCTGTTTAATAATGCAACAATTATGATATGAACAAATAAAAATGACTCAGGGTTTAATTACTTCAGAACGCTGTTAGGAAACTGAGCAGTGCTAAATGGCTGGAATCTAGAAGACAGGGGGAGCGCTCCATCTTACAGTATCACTGCAGGTCCCACTTGTACGGGAGGAATGATCAGGAAATTCCAACATTCTTTGTGACTGGATTATAAATTCTAAAGAAATGGAAGACCTCACTCCCCATAAAAATATATAAACTTGACATTTTGCTAACATGGACCTCTCTTCAACCATTTAATTAAATTGTAACTTCCAAGCTATTTTTTCCATTTTGATGTCTACTGTTTTGCATTTTGTAAGGTTTTTTAATTGTCCTGGGGGCATTTCATGCAGGCCAAGAATGAGACCAAAGAGGTGGGGTGTCAGTTTAAACATTCATAATAGTTACTGGGCTATCCTGTTGAATCCTCATTTCACTCCCCTTGCTTGTCGCAAAATGAAACTGCTTTTATGGAAAGGTTTCATTTGTATCTTCTCATTAAACATTATTGCTTCTCCACAATAATTTCTGTTTTTAAAAATGCCATCAAGAAAAAGAATAGCCCATCTGGGCATCTTCATGACAAGCAGCCTTCTGCATTTTTGCACATCTGAGGGCAAGACATCTACCTTTTGTCTCTCAAGTGTTAAGAATAAACCGTTCTTGCAGAAGCAAGCTCCATAATTTATTGTAACCTCAGTCAGACATTCTTTGTCTGTTGTTTCTCTGAGGTTCTGTGAAAAATCAGGGCTTGTAGCATTATTCATCCCTACAGGAAAAATAAACAAATAAATAAGTAATAATACTAAGAAGCCAGTTGCTGTTGACTGGTGATGTAGTTATAAGTTATTTAATAAAGCAGGCTTAGCAATATACAGGCAGGCACATAATAGTGGTACAAGTACTTCAAGAAAAGCAAAATGTTGTTGCTCCACCAGGATTTCTTTATTGTTTAACATTTTAGTCATCTGTTGGGTATCTGACTGTGTCCCTGGACTCAAAAGGTTCTAATTTGGTTTTCAGCAGCTGCATTATTCTTGTGGAAAAACAATTCCATACTCATGAATTAAAGAATCACAAAGTTTGGAAAGTAGATCAAGTAATTTAGCCTTTTTCACTATGAAGGAGTATTTGATGCTCTGCCCAGTCTTTTCTTCAAAATCATTTTTGAACACGTCTAATAAAGTGGATTTATCAGTGGGTTCCCAACCCTGACATGTGCAGCAAAACAATGTCTATTTCATGTTATTAGCAACATTTGCTGTTCAGAGCCTTTGACCAGTTAGTGTATATCTGAGTGGCTTAATAAGCTATAAGTATTGCTTATCAACAAATTGGTCTACTTGTTGGCACTGGCTTCTTCCCATTTCCCAAGTCATTTGGCTAGGAAACAGCTGTTCAGCTTGTTTTACACTTGGTTTGCTATCTGCAGGGTAGTTATGGATGCTACATAGCTGTTCCCATGGTTTCTGTTTGGCTTTTTGGGAGAGATACCCTCTACTTAGTACCCACCCAAGTTCTGCTGTGCTGCCTCAGTGGGGGAGGTGTTCTTGGAAGTGATAAATAAAGAATGCCAGGGAAGTATACCAAGAGTGTATAATCCCAGCAGGGTCACCCAAGCAGGCACCTGTATTGGAATATAAGATCACTTTAGTGATAACAGCAAAGGCATAATTTCGTCCTACATGGAATGGGAGAAGGCAAAAAGACCACATGGATAGAAAATATAAAATGATTTGATGATATAGTGCCAGATGAGGAATGCCACTGTGGAAGAGCTGAGGATTTTTCAGAGTACTAATGGTGTTTATGACATGGATTAAAGCCTTCGGGATGTCTACTTGCTGATGTTGCCATACAGGAAAAGAATATCTGAAGCTGCAGAAACAGAATTATAGTGGGAAAATGGAATGTAAGGCTCAAATTATCCTAGTTCAGACATATGCGAAAACCCAGCTCTCTGGAGAAGGCTGTAATGCTGGGAAGGGTGGAAGGAAAGAGAAGAAGAGGATGACCAGCAGCAAGGGGGATGGACTCAGTTACAGTGGCAATGAGGACTCCCTTGGGAGTCCTGAAAGAACAGGTTAGGGATAGATTGTCATGGAGAAAATCTATGTGGCTGCTAGGAGTTGAAAATGACTTGATGGCACATAATCAATCAATCAGTCAATCAATCAATCAATCAATCAATCACAACAGAGAAGTATATACCATTGGAAGTCCTGAAGGACCAGGTTAGGGAGAGATCCTCCTGGAGAAATTCTATCTTTGTGGTTGCTAAGAGTCAACAGTAACTGGATGGCACATAATCAGTCAATTAAGCAATCTACTTAGCAGCTCCACAGGTCCTCCACAGGTAATGTAGAAACTTTAAACAAAACATGGAAGATGGTTTATTGAGCATGGTGCTCAGGAAGGGAGGCAGTGGGCCTAGGAAGATGCCTTTATTGATATTCTTTTTTAAAGGTATTTTTCAAATATGGCCCATATGTAAATACATGAATGCTGATTCTGGAGAAATGTTAAATTAGATCGCAGTACCAATAGGTCTCTTTTTCTAAATCATGGCCAAGAAGAATTATGGTATGCTACTTATGAGACTAGATACCAAATATATTGTGTTATAAGCTTGTTCTTTACCATTTCCTGACTTAGTCTCTGATGTTCCTCTGTACCTTTCTGAGGTTTCAGTATCTTGCGTTCAATGCATCTGAAGCTTTAATAGTTATAATTATTTGGGTAGTTTGTAACATTAAGCAATAACAATATTGGTGCCACGATACTGGAAACAGGCCTCTTATTAAAACCATAAATATTTCTTGTTTAAAATGCACTTTCATTATTTTCATAAGATGGATAAAGTGGAGTTTATTGTAAGCTGGAGCTTTCTGAAAATCTAACCTTCACCAAGGGCAGAGCATATGATTGCTCAAAGCAATGCTTAAGAGAAAAGCCGTTCACTTCTTTCTCTGGGAGCTCAAGTCAATACTCTCTTTCAGTGTTGCCAGCTGGCATGTTAGGTGAATAAGCTGACAGCTCTTCCACATCTTACTTTTTTTCTGGTATTGGATTTGGGAGGTGGAGATATTGCATCCTTAGTCTAGGATAAGTAATTCTCAAACCTTTTAGTAAACTGTTTCCTTAATTTAATAAGCACATTTTTATAAATGTTTTATTGCGTTTGAATTGATAACAGAAAAGAAAAAAGAAAACATAATAATAATAATACACGATCAAGAAGGAAAAAAACATTAAAAAGTGCTATTACAAAAAGTGACAAAAATACAACAAAGAAAATAAAAACTTAGCATAGTATATCCTCACAACAGTAAATAGTTACAAATATATATACACATACACACACACAAGAAAATAAAAATTAAGTTTAGTACATCATTATAACAGTAAATAGTTACAAATACACACACACACACACACATGCATATATACACACAAATTTAACAAGTACATTGTAATTGCCACACATAATTCTTTAGCAATCTATTCCAACAGGGATTTCGTGGAAGAAAAGCTTGGGAGCAAATATGTGGCAGGACGATCTCTGGATTTTGCGACATCATTTGAAGAGTCAGGACCTGCGACCCCAGTGTTCTTTATCCTCTCGCCTGGAGTGGATCCCTTGAAGGATGTAGAGAAGCACGGTAAATGCAGTGCATCAGGAGCCAAATGAGATTATATGAACTTGCTTTATCAAAACAAAAACAAAACAAAACCCCCTTTCTTTGTTGATTCCAGGAAGGGGCATTTTTTCAATTTAGCACACTGCCCTAAAAGCAATCATCGTATACTTTATTTTATTTACACCTCCATGTTTTTGTCCTTTCCACTCAAATACCTGGCACAGCAGCCTTATTTTCACATCTCTCAGTTGACTATTGAATAGTGTCTAGCAGCACAACATGTCTGCTGCAGCCTCTGTTTTGATTGGGTTTGAGAAGGCCACTAATAACAGAGATCTACACAAAGCAACTGTGTTGTGAATTCCTGAGGTTGACTGAATACTCCCCAAGGGAAATTTTCCTGATCCTAAGACTCAGAGATTTGGCTGGAACAGATTTCCTAGTATGAGGTTCACTATCTGGTTGTGATGAAAGAGCTGAGATGGGAATATCTTATATCCCCTTTGGGGGACTTTGCAGCCATAACAAAACAGAACTCTTTAAAAAACCCATGTAGTCAGGACTAAAAGATGTTTTAAAAACTACTTGAACAAAATCAGATGCCCTTATAAGGATATGCAAAAGGGTGAACTGAAGAGCTGTAGAATGTAGGCTGAGATGGGCTGTACTCATCTGGAATTCAGTTTGCTTCAGGGTGCACAATTGCATTTTTATCCTATCCCTATGAAAGATGACACCTAGCGTCTTACTGGATTTTGATTCAGTGCAGAGGCAGTGCGATTCTATGCAGGCTATCCTATCAAAAAGGTCATTCAGCTTTTGAGGTTAGCATCCATTGTGGAGACTTGGCAAACAGATTTTTATTTGCAGACCACGTGTCTCATGACAATCCATCAATATGCAACACGCAACAAGAGCTTCAGCCTTCCCTTTGTTGTTTGTTGAACTCACAACTTGTACCTCGGAAAATGATTTCAGTTTTTACGCCCAGCACTGATGTTGGAATGCTTCCTTAGATGGGAACGTATGCCAGTCAGAGCACTAAGCATACCAATGGATTTGCATCATAAATCTTTGCAGTGGGTGAAAGAGCCCTGTGGCTTATCCCCATATTTTCTCTCGGGACCAATATAGAATCAGACATCAACGTTTGGTTTTGATGTGTGAGTTGTTCATTCAACTGCAGTAAAGACATTTAGTTTTTTGTCATTTTAATCAGAAGATCCTAATGCACATCTGATTCCACTGCAACTCTTAAGAGCACGAGGAGCAAATAGGGAAAAGCTCAATGGGGATGTCTGCAGCAGTTATGTACAGAAAGGTGTTTGTTCTTCACCTGTACAGAACATTGTTTTTCCTACCTTTGTAGCAGTTCTGTCAGCAGCAGAAAAATATCTTGGGTTGTTCTAATTTCCCTTGTACCTCTTCATTCCACCTCAGAGTATGCTCACACTGCTTTAAATTTGGACTCACTTGCTCTCCATTTCACCCACAGCAAGTGGGACTGCCGACTCAGTCTTGGAGCATTGGACAGAGGGCAGATCCACACTTTCTGCTTGGCTCATCACCACGAGAACAGGAATGGATGGTGCTGTTTTCCAATCCCAGCCCACTGCAAATGCATCAGCACCGGTGTTGTCCAGCTTTGATCCAAAACTGCTGTTTTCTGACCCAAATTGCCCTAAGCCCTTCAGGTGGATGGCCTCCATGGCAAGCCCATCTCCAACTGGCTGTGATGCCTGGTACACCCCCCCCCCTCCGGTGGTTGGTCACTGCTGATCAGCAGTTGCTATTTTTTTGTGATTACATATGCCTTTTTAATTCAATGAACCATCCTCAACCCTAGAACTCATACTTCATTCAACTCTTACTTCTCCTAGCAACAAAGAGTCACTGGAGTTGGGCAGCATATAAATTTAATAAATTATTCTTATTCTCTTGGTTTCTGGCCAGACTGGGTGAAGTATGATCCCGGTGCTTTCTCACTTCTTCCCTTCCCTTCCCTTCCCTTCCCTTCCCTTCCCTTCCCTTCCCTTCCCTTCCCTTCCCTTCCCTTCCCTTCCCTTCCCTTCCCTTCCCTTCCCTTCCCTTCCCTTCCCTTCCCTTCCCTTCCCTTCCCTTCCCTTCCCTTCCCTTCCCTTCCCTTCCCTTCCCTTCCCTTCCCTTCCCTTCCCTTCCCTTCCCTTCCCTTCCCTTCCCTTCCCTTCCCTTCCCTTCCCTTCCCTTCCCTTCCCTTCCCTTCCCTTCCCTTCCCTTCCCTTCCCTTCCCTTCCCTTCCCTTCCCTTCCCTATATGTGCAAATATCTTGGAAAACAAAGGAAAGGCAAAGGGATTAATGAGGATGGAAGGTCCTTAAAGGTAGACCAGTCTACCCAGGAGCCAGCTAATGAGGCTTGCCTTTCTGGCATGGATGGGAGGACCAAGAAGCAAGGGAACAATCAGACAGGCCCCACTGCCAGCTCACAGCAACCTGGACTGGAATTACTGAGGTCGCCTTGAGAAGCAGCCAGGAGCACTCTGGGAGACAAGCAGTTTAGGATGCAGTGCGGTATTGTTCCCAAACACCATCCTGATCTATGAAAATATAAAGTAGTATTTGCAGCAGAGTGCACTTGGGGAGCTAAATAGCAGGTTTGGTTGTGGGACTTAGTCATGGGACTTTAGGTAGGAAAAGAAATGGGGGAGGATTAACACCTGCATACCCATTTTCTTTGCGCACTGCAATCCCAACTGGGGTCAGGCCTACTTAGAGCCACGGGGCTAAGCAAGGTAGTGCATCTGGTTCAAAGCTAAATCTTTCTGGCTGCCAATCTGCCATGAGTTGCAGGCACTGTGTTTCTCTGGATTGAAATGCTTATTTTCTCCTTTCAGGAAAGAAACTTGGCTACACATTTAACAACCGGAATTTCCATAACGTCTCCCTGGGACAAGGCCAAGAGGTAGTAGCGGAACAAGCCCTAGACCTAGCGGCAGCAGAAGGACACTGGGTTATCTTGCAGGTCTGTGCTCTTTTTGGTTTGGGAGAAGAGATTCCTTGCCTGCCCCCAAGCCATCCGTTATCCAGACAGGTGAAATCAGGAGTGATCAGTAGTAGAACAAACCACTCCTTGACAAATCTCCAAGTCTCCAGCCTGGCACCCTGCAGAAATATTGCCCTAAATTTGCCATCACCTCCAGCCTATGTGACCATTATTTATGCGGGAGGCTAAAAATAATGGGGCCTGGAGACTAAAACAGTCATCTGGACGGTGCTGTCTTGGGAAAGGCTGCTATACATGATCAATCACTACATTTAGTTTGCAAATTGGTGTGATGGTTAATTTCTTCAGAAAGGGCCACAAAGCCCATGGAAACAAAACCACTGGTGAACTTCTCCTTTTGTTGCATCCAGGCTCTGGGCACTGTGCCTTTGAGAAGGATTTGAAGCTTTATATGCTTTGTTCCAAAATGTCTAGAGGGATTCCTTCTCTGGGCTACCCACCCAAATTGCTGAATGTAAAATTTACTTTCTAAGGACTCACATGACTATGTATGCTCTTTTTTATTATGTATGAGCATGTGTGTGTGTGTACAGGAAAAGATATGACAACATGAGTTTCAATTCTGCATCAGGAAAAGCTGAATTTAGACTTCTATATTCTGCATATTTTTTGTTATTTCTGGCAGCTACCTAGGAGATAGAGCAGAGGAAGGTGTATCCTCTGATCCCTAAAAATCCTTCTCCTGTCCCCACTTAGTGTTTTGGCACATCAGCAGGCATGATTGACTGCAATTTATTTTCATAATTTTAAGGTACAGAAGTTAACTTCAAAGAAAATGTGTAAAAAAAAAAGATGCTCAGGAAGTTGAATTCTTTGCCCAGGGTGAGCTATCCTTAGAGACTGAACTGTTTGGAATCTAGTTCTCAGGCAAGGGAGAAGGGAAGAGATTGTGGTGATAGCATTTCAACTTCAAGAATGAGCACAGCAACTACACAGAGCCACCCCATTGCTTTTATATTGGCTCTTTCTATTTGATCATGCAAATATGTGTGAAGGAATGGTTGGATGAAGGCCGTGCTCGGGGAGATAAGCATTCCCTTAGCCTCCAACAGGAGCGTGAGAAGTTTAAGAAGATGAGACTGGCACCACCCTAAGGAATTCATGGTGTTTTGGCTTGCTGGCT